GTAATATTCGCATGTCGAGAAAGCTATATTGTCATAATATACATATTGTGGAAGCTATACTGTCGTAATATTCGCATGTCGAGAAAGCTATATTGTCATAATATACGTATACCATGGAAGCTATACTGTCGTAATATACGTATATCGTGGAAGCTATACTGTCATAATACACATATATCATGGAGGTTGTACTGTCGTAATATACGTATATCGAGAAAGCTATATCGTCGTAATACACATATTGTGGAAGCTATACTGTCGTAATATTCGCATGTCGAGAAAGCTATATTGTCATAATATACGTATACCGTGAAAGCTATACTGTCATAATATACGTATACCGTGAAAGCTATACTGTCATAATATACGTATACCGAGGAAGCTATACTGTCATAATATACGTATATCGTGAAAGCTATATTGTCATAATATACGTATATCGTGAAAGCTATATTGTCATAATATACGTATACCATGGAAGCTATACTGTCGTAATATACGTATACCGAGAAAGCTATATTGTCGTAATACACATATTGTGGAAGCTATACTGTCGTAATATACGCAAAAAGCTGTTTAGTTTTCATTAAATATTCTTAGTTTCATAGAATACCAATTTACCTTTGTTATCTTTGATATCCACATGTGCTCCGTTTTCTAGCAGATATTGCATGGTTAATGTTTGACACATTAGCGCCGCCTGGTGAAGACCCGACATCCTAAAAGAAAAGAGATCCACTGAATTGAATGACTGAAGAGTTATTTTACAGATCGACTTTTTTAAAAAACAAAACAAAAACATAATATACAAATGCATTCGTTTCTGCGATAACCTCAATAACAGGAATAAAAATATATGCATTACAGTGTCCGATAAATAACAAAAGCTTTGTACTACTTATCTGTTGTTTATGAAACTTTCCTCCAAACTTTCAACCAAACTAAACGACCTTTTTATGTTAAACAACTGGCAATGAATAAAAAAAACACTAATGTGTCCATGAACAAAAATAAAAAAATCAACACTTTGGAAGAAAAAAGTCAATAAAAGCGTCTTGGCTCTTTTCCTCTTACGAGTTCCTGCTCATAAGTACATAGAAAAAAAAAAAGTTGTCCAAACAAAAGCCAATCACCATAAGCAGACGTCCGTCCTCAGTGCCACAAATCATATTTTGAGGCTGTTCAATGATTACTGACAAGTAGCTAACTTCCCGTCGTTTTGACGTCCCCCACGAGCAGCAGCTGTAAATTTTCAAGTTCGCTGCCGCCAATTGTTATTTGTTCAGTTTTCAATAGTGGCACTGTTCTTACTTTTCAAGTATTTTCATGTTGTGTGAAAGAGCTGAAGTCGCCGAGTATTTCTGACCAAGTAATAACTTGCTTATTCAGGGAGATGGCTTTCTTTATCAGAAGAAGAAGAATGAAAAAAAAACTCTGCCTTTTCACTAAATGGAGCAATATTGGTGAATACTGTGTCCACTGCCTTAGAACAATAAAATTAATTAATTAATTAAATTTTCTTTTTGTTCGTCCTTTAATATAAAGGAACAAGTTACTTTTAACTAACGAAACTATTTTTCTTAAACTTTCGTTCATTTTAAAATCATAAATAATATTCAACGTTAAACTGGTACACAATTAAAAACACCTTATTTAGGCCCATCTATGGCCTTCAAAAAGTTGACGACTCTACATGTTTCGAGGGTGACGTTTTATTGTCGGAACATGTAGAGTGTTCAACTTTTTGAAGGCCATAGATAGGCCTAAATAAAATGTTTTTAATTGTGTACCAGTCAGTTTAACGTTGAATATTATTTATGATTTTAAAATGAACGAAAGTTTAAGAAAAATAGTTTCGTTAGTTAAAAGTAACTTGTTCCTTTATATT